CCACGCACACACTGCTTTTATCTCTCTCTCTCTCTCTCTCTTTCTCTCTTTTCGTCTTGCCTTCTCCTGAACGAATACAATGTCACGCAAGCACCGCCGTCCGCAGGCCCAGGGCAAGACACTGCAAGAAGGCGGCGGCATGCTCCGCATCGGCGTCTTCGTTGCCGCACACCGAGATGAGGGACTGCAGAAACACCCGCACAGCATCACGGTAGTCTTCCGGCATTACGCCAATCGATTTCTGCCGCTTCCCAATGTCACGCAGCACCGCAGCGGTATCGATCCACTCTGCTGCCCGCGCCATGCCCCGCATTGTGACGACGACAATGTGGAGGAATGAGTAACCGTAGAGCTCCTCCACGTCTGCAAACGACGTCCCCAGCTCTATAGCCGGCCACGCCGCCCCACTGGCGTTGTCGTCGGCCCCACTGACGTTGTCGTTGGCCCCTCGCGCGGCCATTGCGGTCTTCCAGGGGCTCTCCACGTCGGAAAACACCATGCGAATCCACGGGTCCGGCAACCCCGGCGACATTCGAACCACCACGGTGCGCATGATCTCGTTCAGCAGCGGGGACAATGCGCAGTCCGGAATGATTGATAGTTTGCCTTCGCCATCTTCGGCGGAAACGGCGGCATCAGCGGCAACGGCACGTACAGGAGCCACCGACAACATGGCCCACACGGCGAGGGCCTTCTTCACAAGAGCAGATGGGAAAGCGTCTGGCGAGGTGGCGTACGCGTACGAAGCGGAGAACACATTATAGGGGTCTTTCTCCATGGTCTCCTCGTTCATCGTCGCCACCCGCTGCATGCGCTCCAGTACGTGGAAGGAACATGGATTGCCTGCAGCACACAGCAGTGTCACCCGCTTGTTGCGCCGTGCGAGGCGGAGAAGTTGCTCCGCACCGCTCTCGTGCACCGCGTTGCGGCAGATCGACACCTCCTGCAGGTGTCGGTGGCGGCTAAAGAGAGCGGCGAGACGGTAACATGTGAGGTCCCCCGCGCTGTTCTGGTCAAGCACCAGTGAGCACAGCGAGGGGCAGTAGAAGAGCGTCGCCAACACCGGAGCGAGTGCATCGTCGCCGAGGAGCACAGGCCGCAGGTCGACGGTCTTCAGTGCATTCCAGCGGCGCTCGGCACCGTCGGCAGCATGGGCCCCGCGCAGCATTTTATCCACGTGCTCAGAGTGCCGCAGCGTATTGTTGAAGACGAACTCATAGAAGCGGCGGTAGCAGTGGTAGAGCGCGTTGAGGGGGAGGGCGCCGTAGGGTAGCTGCTGCTGCTGCTTCGGCTGCAAAGAAGACACAAATGATGTATGCGGGTCACGCTGCGGCAGGCGAAGCAGCGCGTAGGCATCGCACTCGGCAGCAAGCATTGCCCGCACCGGCTCAGAGATGTCGAGGGCACGCACGACAAACTGCACCTCCACCCCCGACCAGTCGACATCCTCCTTCGGGGCCAGGGACGTGTTCCTGCCCCCACCGGGGATGTGGATGAAATGCCCCCACACCTCACTCTGGCGCAGCGCGACGGCGTCCACACGCGCGGTCGCCACACCGCAGTTCTGGTAGGAAACATCGCGCAGCGACTCAATCAGCACGGTGCGACGCGCAACCACCGACGGCGCAGAACTCCGCACAATGGACACCTCCAGCACTAACTCCACCCTCAGCTCTTCCTCCGAGTTGTTGCTGTTATCGTTATTGTTCTTGTTGTTGCTGCTGCTGTTGCTTGGTACCGTAGTTTCGGCAGTATTGTTGGCATTTGCCTCGACTCTGTACGAGGCGCGCTCCAGCATGACGGGCACGACGAGCTCCTCCGCCATCTCTGTGTTCTGCAATGGGTGGGCGATGGAATCAGCGCACTCGCCCATCCGCTCCTCCGTGCTGCCACTCGTTGGCCGCACCGTCGCGCGCACGTGGAACTGCACACCGCCGTTGCTGTGAGCCTCGCGCTGCAGCGGCGTTCCCCGCACGCGCACCTCCGCGAGCGTCACGACGACGCAGCCAAGGAAAAGAACGTCGTGGTCCGCCGTCATCGTCTACCCGCCTCTTGCCTTCTTGTGTATATTTACAAGAGCACGTCTTTGTGCAGAATTGCGTACGTGCTTATATGTACTCTTTTCTTCGACTCTTGGTCTCCTCTCGCTGGATTCTTCCTTTTTTCTTTCTTTCTTTCTTTCCTCGTGCCGTCCCCTCACTGGCGAGGGCAATCTCCCCTTGCGGGCGGCACGTGTCGCAGAGAACGGAACGCGGAGAGGGAAGAGAAGGGCGTGTGCGCCTTCACCGCCACCATCAGCACGGGCATGGCAGGATGGGGAACGGGCGCAAAACCACAACAGTCGCAATTTCTAACAGAACGAAGAGATGAGACGGAGTGCATCGCCACCCATATATATATATATATATATAT